AAAAAAAAAAAAAAAAAAACATATAAATAAATAAAGGATCCAAGTTTCCACGACTAGGTTTCACTGCGGACAAACACAAATAAATTTGTAGAAACAAACCCTCCAAGTTACAGGCAACAGCAACAATCTAAATGAAACATTTTTCCAGAAAATCATTTGACCCAGAACACAACATGCGAAAAAATAAAAACGAAGACAATTATCGTTGAAAGAAAACCACAGAAAATACCAACAAAAAACTAACATTAGCAGCAAACTTCCACCATAAACCCGTATCAGCAACCACAACTCGATGCATAAATTCACGCAGGGGCATCGAATTTCATACTTATACACATATATTGAAGACTACAGAAACGGACAAAGAGAAGTGTACCTGGAAGAGGGAAGAGAAGGGAAGCTGTGAAAAGAGTTGTAAGCCATGAGATTGCCAAGGTCTACTTGATACTGCCGTCCGGACTCCATCCCCGCCTCGCTCTGTGCTAACCTACCTCCCTTCAACCTTGCCTTATAAAAAACCTAAAATAGAGAAACAACGGACTATGCTGCTCAACGCATGTAGGAAAAGCAGAAAACATGACTTGCGTATTTAGGGTTTTCAGCAAATAAACTGCCGCAATACTCATAAAAAAAAAAAAAGAAAAAGAAAAAAAAAGGAGCTTCCAAAGGATTAGCAATCATGCCCCTTAATTTAGAACCCCTGGCTAAATTGACCCAAAATTTAAACCCCTTTTAAGCTAGTCCACTCTTCCTCCATAATTCATTTATGTCCCCAATTCCAATTTATTCTAGTTAAGTCCACATCTAATATTTAATAGCTTAGAAATATTTGTTGTATCGCATCTATGACACCCTTAGGCAAATCTCATATCAATAAAACACAAGAAAGATACTGAATATATAAGTGAATACTCATTAATTTCTATTGACATGTTTTAAAATTGTAAGGCCTAACGGGCCAATGTGGACAGCCTTAACGGTGGGATGGGTTGTTACATATAATATCAAAGTCACTTTGCAATCTCTTGGAGGTTGGTAGGCTAAATCTCAACGAAGACTTCAAGTCTCAAAAGAAGGGTGTATATAACACCGTTAGGCAAATTCCACATTAACAAAACATAGAAGACATGTTGCTATATAAGTCAACATCTATTAACCCTTGCTAATGTGTTTTATAACTGTAAGACCTAATGCGTCAAAGCACATAGTATGAATAATGAGTTGGGTCAACCATTCAAAAAGGAAAAAAAAAAAAAAAAGTAGATTGGATTATTACAAGGTTAAGCCCAAATTTGATCTCTTGTTTTGTTCTCTGACACCTAAACCCCTATAGGAGAAGAAAAAGACTTGACAGGGGGAAGGAAAAGGGAGGAGGAGGAATAACAACAAGAAAGAAGATGATTTTCTATTTTGAAGAGACCCTTTTTTTTTTTTTTGGTTGGAGTAAGAAAATGAAAAGAAAAGGGTCAATTTTCAATTTTAATGTTAACTTATAAAAAAATTAATTTTGAACTTTTTTTTTAAGAAAATAAGTTAGAATTACTTTTTTCCATAAAAGAGTAAATAGAATTACTTTTTTCCATAAAAGAGTAAATAATTGATTTATGAAAATGGTATAGAGCAGGTAGTCCTCCTAAAATTATTTTGGAGGACCTATATAAAGTTTACATTTTAATTAATATTTTCAAAAATCAATCTTTAAATTAAAAGTTCTATTCATATAAATCATATATATTAATTTTTATATTAATCTAACTCTTATTACTTTTTGATCAAAATAATTTTATTTATTGACATATATTTAACAATATTAAATTTCTTATAATTAATAAAATAGTTAAGCTTAGTAAATCAATATGAAAATTTACATATATGATTTATATGATTAAAACTTTCAATTCAATAGTTGGTTTTTAAAAATATAAATGAGAAGATGAATTTTTAAAATATCCTCCAACAAAAATTTAGGAAAAAAAACCTACAAAACACTTTTTTTTTATTTATATATATTAAATATATTTTTTCTACAACATTTTGTCTATGTCAATAACTTTATTTCTACTGAGCGTTGCTTTTAGATATTTTAAACACACCAACAAAATACAGGATTATAGAGCTCAATTAACGAAATATCTAGCCAACTCAGCATCACCGTTCATTTACTTCTTGTATGGAAAATTTGAAGGGTTAAACTCCTACATTAGGAAAATTAAAACTTTAAGTCCTTCTATAGTAAAACCAGTAAAGTTTGACTCTTTATAAACTAGTTTTGCCCAGAAGTGAGGTGCAATATAAGTGTGGGCTAAAAGCTCTGATGGGTTCCGTTCCTTTAAGCCTAGCAAGTGAAAGCCGAATTGGCCCATGAAAAATCTCATCAAAATTTGGGATACAGCCACCCTTTTGTTTTTTTGGTTTAACGGTAGAAAAAATAGTAAAGTGCATTTTTTTTCCTTGTAGTTTGTACTTTGGAGCTTACCTCTCTATAAAACTGCCATGTTTTATATAATGTGACGTGATACTCAATAAATAAATAAGTATTTTGTAGCATTTGGGTTTCGCAACGCGAGACTTTTGCAGTAATAAGATGCACTCTTGATTCAAGGGTTACGATTCAAATCTCCCTTCCCCACAATATAAACCCGTTAAAAAAAAGTACTTTGTAGTTTAGATGATATTAAATTATAAAATATTAATTGTTAGATAAAAATATTTTTTTAATTTAATAATTAATATTTTATGATTTGATATAATTAAAATTACAAAACACTAAACTCTTAAATGAATAGTTGCATATTAATTTGTATATTCTATCAAGCAAAAAAATATCAATAGTG